AGGGGAGGGGGGGTTGGGGGTGGGATGATTTCATCTCTTCTCTATTCTTTTGTATGCTGAATACACTTACTGCATTCCTGCAAAAACTATTTTAGCTAATCAAAACCTTATCTTTCTTTAATTCAAAATATAATCTAGGCACAGTCTATCCCTGGCACTCCCCAGTAGTCTAGTGGATGAAGTGACTTCCTGTCAAGCTATTTCTGATGTGATGTGAATGCGTAATAATCAAGGCTCTCCCTACACCATTTACTAGGTCTATACTACCATCTAGTGAATACAGGAGTGCACTGCATGTGCTCAAATGTAAGAAAACAGCCCTGCATTATCGAAGAAAAAGACGGGTTATTTCATAAATCCACTCCGCTACCTCATACAGATGTACCATCTGCTTTGTTCCAAAATACCTCATTGTACATTGTGCTACCTGTGTAGTGTGTGTCTAGAACAGTACTAGAACACACTAAAACCACCACAGAGGAACAGATTATATGTCTGCATTTATTTTAATCAGAACATAATTTTATCATTGTAGCAGTAGTTTTGATACTTTTCCAAAAGATCATGACTCGTGAGATTGTTTTATAAATCATTTCATCAAAGTCGTTTGTAAAAAAATTTAAGAAGTTACTGAACTAAAGCATCTATAATTTTACAATATACCAGTAGTATAATAGTAATCATAATAATCATAATTGTAATGATACTTCTATATGCCTTTGAACCTTTTTTATAATCATATAGCTTTCTCTCTCTCACACACACACACACACACAGTCCCATAACCTCTCTCAATAAGGGTGTGAATCTGAGGACAATTCTATTGGTTAAGCCCCACCGCATTCTCTTCCTACTTCAACAAAAACGCAACCAATGATTTCAGACGCTCAAAGGGGAAAAAAGAAAAGAAGAAGTGTAAAGAAATATGACATCAACTTAAAACGCAAGATAACCTGGAAGCAAAGACATAACTGATACATAGTTTATCATTCTAGGGAACATATTTACAACCAAAGAAAGGAATGGGCTTCTGCATAGATCCACAGGACAGAACATAAACATGGCTAAAAAGAGAGAGGGAGAGAAATAAAAAGAAAGGGAGACATTTATATCAGGCAGGCGCACACGGGGGAGAGTGGGACAGGATAAGAACACATAATTATGTGCAAAGAACACAACACTGTAAATGTGATGTCTTTACATTGGGTCATGGCATTCCTTTGGAGGTCGATATTAAATACAGTACAAAGTCATAGGTCATTGTGATCTAGATTGAATTGATAGGGCCTTAAACAACATTACCATAATAGGGAATCAAACCTAGCAAATCACAGCAGTGTTGCGTACATGCCTGCATTAACCATATCAAAATGAGAAACATTTGTATTAATGGGATTTCATGGAGAAAGCTTGTGTACAGTAATGTCTATGATGAGTCTATGGCACGGTATTGTCAGTGAGAGGGCATGGAGAACATATACTGTAGTCATCAGCCAGGACAGCCAACGGTAGTACATGATGCATTACTGCATGTAAAAGGGACTTTTACATGTGCATGACTTAGTGTGTTGATGTAAAGCTATAGTATGTATACTGGTTCAGGGTCAGATCAAAACGAGGTGCATAAGGTCATTGGATCTCAACCTGATATCAGATATGAGAAATGGAAAAATCAAGAGCAAGACAAGATGTAATTTTCCTAGAATATTCTAGCCTACTAACGTGTTACACTCCTACAAGGTGTGGGTCACACATAAGAGTGAGAGTCAGGAGAAACAGTATAAGGATTGTCTTGATGCAGTAGAATAGCACTGAAGCTAACATGCTAACATAAGCCTTTTTAGGGCACTTTTACTGATGGCACCAGGATGGGGCTAAATTGTATTGTAGCTGCTGATAATAGTCTTATATTTGGTGATAATATCTATTTTCTCTCAGGACATACTATTTAGAGCTCTCCAAAATGGCCATGGCTTTATTCTGGCCATGTGTGGGATTCTCTTGCATACTGTAACATCACACACTCGCTGATTTAGGGTTTGGGCTAGGGTCCCCTTTGTCCCTCTCGTTCTCATTTCACCCTCCGTTTAAGTTTTTTCTCCATATCCCTACCTTCCCTCTGAATCTTTGTCAACCTCTTTTTCACTCATCTCTCAGATGGACAGAATGAGGCTGTTTACTAAAAGATGACGTTCAGATGTATTGTAGGTGTAATGCTGATGAAGATGAGATGCTGATAGAGGTGTAATGCTGATGAAGGTGTATGTATGATGTGTGCTGATGTACAGTAGGTGTTAGGTGCTGATGAAGATGAAGAAGTGATTAAAGTGGCTAGTTAATGTTGTGTCTCCTGAGGGCTCTGAAAACAGGAAATTTACGCCATGCTAATGAGGTCTCCAGAGAAGACTGGCTCTGTGCTGAACCTGACTAATTAGTGTGCCACTAGAAGCCCCTCGAACACACACACACACACACACACACACACACACAAACACACACACACACACACACACACACACACACACACACACACACACACACACACACACACACACACACACACACACACACACACACACCTCTATCATCACTAGATTCTGAAGACCTCAGCCTCCTGTATCCCTATGCATCTGCTTTGACTCTCTTTGACCCCATCTTCCGTGGTCCAATCTTGCTAGGACTTCCTTTGACATTCTACCTTTAATTCATCATTACTGCATGCTTGAAATAAACCTACTCAAGAGCCCTCTCTACTGTTGGCCTATGGAATTTCAGGCCGTGGAACCAGAGAGGAAACAAGGGAATGATGGGATGATGGGATGATGGGGTCAAATGAACGGATCCTGCATTCATAACCAATCGGAGTAATCTAAAATACGAGATTCCCACTGGGGAAAAAATGTAAGCTTCCAAGTCCTAATTACAACCTGGCAAGTCGGGTATCATCTCTGGACCCCGACTTCCCTGACATGCTGAACTCTGACGTCACCTAAGGAAATTACTTAGATGACAGCATTTTCGGCAGTTAAATGCAATGGCAAAACATTATTTATCAAGTACAATCTATTTGTATGATTTTTGAACACCATAATTTGCTTTTGAGTATGATAATATGTTTATGTTTAAAGTTGCTAGTTTGACGTTAGCCAATTGGTGTTCTCAATGAGTTCAAAGCATGTGAATGCACACAACTCCATTGCTCTGAGTCTACAGGTTGCATTTCCCAACACTCTGAGGGTCGTGAATGCAGCATGACTATGAGTGAGACAACAAGTAAATATCAGACAGATCTCACAATGGAGAATGTAACAATGAATGAGCAATGATAGTAAAAGCAGAGAACAACTTTTTAATTTGTTTCTCAATTTGTGCGACCTATAGTTGACTAGTAGACTGACAAGCCGGACCTAGCAATAGACAGCTAACACATATAATCAACAGACATGAAAGTGAAGAATTCTGCATTCAGCATACATTTGTTAGGCCTACAAAACCTGAATCCCCTATCTATCAGTTCAGTTCATCATCTAGAAAACAAAGGGACAAGAAATAATAAAAACAGCCCTTAAAGATTGCCTTTTCTTCCAGCTCATACTAACCATAATGCTAATAGTAATGCTAACATCTGCCATTGAGCTTCTCAACCTTACTCTGCCGCCCAACGTTTCTCCTCAAACATACTACATACTGGGTCCTACACCTGCCCACTCTCTATAGCAACACGTGAAACACCTTTTAAGCAAACGCTTACCTTTGAAGGTGTACCCCTAAGCATGCAGTTTCAACTGAGATACCTGAAGCCATGCCTCAAGCACATTTTTGTGATTGTGTGAGTTTGTGTTTGTATATAGAGATAAGCCCTTTAAATAATGTGAGATAAATAACATTTTCTGAAGAAAGCAGTTGAAAACAGAGGACATGCTACCTTACTGGTGGTTTTTTTGGGGTGCAGTAGTGTTCTCTAACACAGAGGGGGGCTAAGGCTATGCAAAGCAAACCAACAAGGCTGTGAATTTCACATAATTAAGAGAGCCTCCACATGCAAGTACCGATTAGACAAACACATAAACAGTAGACCTCCTGTGTGTGAAGTGCTAGGCTGAGAGGACATAGGAAATGGACAGAGTGTGTGGTAGGGACAGGATTCAGAGAAAGGCTAGTGGGATACTTCTATACCAAGGGGTTGTCTTCTATAATGAAAGCCGTATCACTGGCCAGAAGTGTAATCTGGGTGTATGTTGACTTTACCAGGGATAATTTGTTTATATTTTAGCAGCTGCTCTTATCCAAAGCAATTTACAGTAGTGAGTGCATACATTTTCATACTGGTCCCCCATGGGAATCGAACCCACAACCCTGGTGGTGTAACCACCATGCTCTACCAACTGAGCCACACGGAACCATGAGAACAAACTACTACTCCAACATTTTAGAGTGTCCTTTCCTACATCTAAAGCAGCTTTAGGAATGGGAACCCAAATAAGTGGAGACTTCAGAGTAGACACCCACACACAATCACACACATACAAGTATGCACACACTCACAACTTTGCTTTTTGATACATGTTATCTATCCTATATCGATGAGACATTTACTTCCTGCACAAGAGACCCATAAAGGAACAACATAAAGGATGGACATTCTAAAAGGACAGTGAGTGTTATCCTGTAGTCAGCCAGTGCAACAGAAAGCCAGAACAGGAACACAGTGTAAAAAAGCTCAGTGAGAGAAACTCAGCAGTGAGGAGGCCTTCCTACTCAACAAAGGCTGCGGCATTGTCCCATGTTCCCGCCACTGTCATGTTTTTGTCTCTTTGTTTGTTTGTTTGTTTTGATTGATTTGCATGTCCTCCGTCTCCAAGTAGTCCCACACCTCTGCAAAGACTCAATTACCCAGAAAGCACAGCGGCTGCAGATGTCTAACCAACAGCACATAGCATTCCCGACCAAGGTGGAGATGTTTCATATTGTCGTGACAATGTAAATCCTCGGCCATCCCATCAATCCTCATTGACGGGGGAGCTCTCCTCCAGAGGGGCGAGGGAGGTGGGGAGGCCCAGGCCCAGTCCCGTTGCATTGTGGGATGCGGTGAGGGAGGCGACAGTGTGCAGGAGGACAAGGACTAGCAGGCAGAGTTTGAGCCGGCTGTTGCACAGTCTGCACACGGCCGAGGAACTGAGAGAGGTACGGTGGTGACAGGACGGGTGAGTTCTTTTGAGGGTACCACGTGAATGGTTGTTTTCCACTTCTGGCTGGAAGTCCCACCGGACATCACAGCACTCCGCGTCTGCATCCACGCCCCCAGGGTACTCCTCCAACAGCCCTGCAGAGGAGGGACACAGGTTTACTTAAGCAATAAGGCCCGAAGAGGTGTGGTATATGGGCAATATACCAAGGCTAAGGGCTGTTCTTATGCTCGACGCATCGCGGAGTGCCTGGACACAGCCCTTAGCTGTGGTATATTGGCCAAATATCACAAACCCCCGAGGTGCCTTATTGCTATTATAAACTGTTTACCAACATAATTAGAGCAGTAAAATACATTTTTGTTGTTGTTGTTTTGACACTCCTTCTCAATATATAAGATAATATGGATGCAAAAAATACCCTAATCACTCCAACATCTTGTTTCCACCATTACTTACAAGTATCCGATCCCCTCAAATCAAGAAGGGTCTAGTGGTAGAGGCTATACAGTAGGTTAATTTTGGATTGGGCAACGGATTATCTTCTGTACAACAACGACTGTTGCTCCCTCCATGCCGGCTGTGAGTGTCTCTGTGTGTCAGTGAGCGGTCTGCATACTAATGTGAGTGGGTGAACTTGTGAGGAGGGCTAAGTCGTCTCCCACTCTGGACTGTTTGACGTTGAAGAGCTTAAGCCTGATGAGAGGCTCCACGTAATTAAAGACTTAATAACGGTTACAGCTCTGATCTGACAGGCCACACTTTCACGGGTGCACACCCATGGGGCACACACGGGTGCGCGCACACACACACACACACACACACACACACACACAGGGGCACACAGGAACACACACATGCAAACAAAGTGGATGCATTCAGCACCAAGGACAGCACCAACTCAGCAGAAAACCAAATGCATAAGCTTCAGAAGGCAGGAAAAGGGCATGACATTATTCTATTTTTGACACATAAATCAACATGGATTACTAGAACTGACCTCTAACTGGCCCAAAAGAAAAAAAGCCTCATTCTCCATGTGATCTATGCCATGCATAAACTTGTGTCTGGTGGTGTTGTTGACTTTGGCTTGCTGCTGACCGCCAGGTGGTGACATATAGTAAACTCAAACCATTGTCACTCTTCTCATGGACAGCTGGGGATGCATTCAATAGCTTTGAGGTGGAAGCCATCATTCTAGTGCAGACATTAAAGGGGAAGTAGCCTCTAGACAATGAGTTTTGCTATACAGCATATCTAACTCTACAACAAATACATGTTGGCATTTTAGTTCCATTAATTAGTTGTAACATATCAGTGCTGTGGTTGTACTCCATGTTTAACTGGGATTATTCTCCAATATCTTCATATTGTTTCCCTGTGCATATAACCTGTGTATCGTCCAGTATAACAGGCTGTACCTGTGCATATAAAACTGGGGCTTCCTCCGTGGATGAGATCGTCGTTGTCGGGCAGGATGAAGGGACACCTCTGCTGCACCTCCAGACAGTACTGGCCACACAGGATCCTCTTACTGCAGTGCATCTGGGTGGTCTGGAAGTACTGCGAACACAGCCAGGGCTTATATACCGTCTATTAGGGAGACGGAGAGGGATGGGAGGGAGAGGGTGGAGGAGAGAGCATATTGATGGGTTAAAATTGGGTTGCCATTGATGACGCACACACACACACACACACAGTACTGTATGGATGCACACACTCACACACACACACACACTCCATCTGTGACCTCTACTGCAATTGATTTACTTGAATTGATCAGACTTCCTTGTATCCAGCTTCCAATGAATAAGGGCATCGGTGGGAGAGGTGCTCCTTCTCTCTCTGAGACATACAGTACAGAATGCCACAGGCCTCTCTTGCATTCCATATGCCTTCCTATTGTCTCTCACATATTCCTCAGTCCTACTGTACATATATATTGTCTCTCACATATTCCATAGACCTTCCTATTGTCTTAGATGTATTCCATACATACACCTACTGTACCTACGCAACCCTTCATATAGTACACAATGTATTCCATTGACCTATTGACTCTGAGACATCCATGGGCCTTTCTATTCTCGCACAAATATTTCCTAGGTCTCCCTATATTCTCTGGGCTCCTCGTCTCAACAGATTTGCGATAAGCCCGCTGTCGCTATATGGTGTAGTGTGGCGCTGTCACCTGTTAGCGAGTGTGTCTCCTAGCTCTTCACGCCCCTCTCGGTCCATGTGCGGCTACGGTAATTAGCCGGTGGTTCCGGTGAATCACTCAAAGCTTGTTTGGGGAAGTGGGGAACGCTAGGCACGTTAGTGCCCGCCGCAGGCTAACCGTCACGGCTCAACACACTGCACCCAATCATAGATCTTGTCAATCCCCACGCAGATGAGATATTTATGCTGTGTTGTGTGTGTGTGTGTGTGTGTGTGTGCGTGCGTGCATGCGAGTGTGTGTGTGTGTGTGTGTGTGTGTGTGTGTGTGTGTGTGTGTAAGTCTCTTGCTCAAATTATGTGACTCTCAATATGCTCTTTATTAGATAAATCCTTGATGATGAACAGTAGGCCAGGAATTTGCACATAAAAAAGGTGAATCTATTATTTACTCAGTCACACACACACACACACACACACACACACACACACACACACACACACACACACACACACACACACACACACACACACACACACACACACTCACAGGAACCTGATGATTTCAGCACCATGGACAGCGCTGTAACTAACTACACTGAACAAAAAAAAAATACTGTATAAACCCAACATGCAATAATTTCAAAGATTTTACTGAGTTACAGTTCATACACTGGACAATTCTTGATACACAAGGGAAAGTGTGAGCATGAAAAACCCAGCATCGTTGCAGTTCTTGACACAAACCAGTGCGCCTGGCACCTACTTCCATACCCCGTTCAAAGGCTCTTATATTTTTTGTCTTGCCCATTCACCCACTGAAATGGCACACATACACAATTCATGTCTCAATTGGCTCAAGGCTTAAAAATCCTTCTTTAACCTGTCTCCTCCCCTTTCATTTACACTGATTGAAGTGGATTTAACAATTGACATCAACAAGGGATCATAGCTTTCACCTGGATTCACCTGGTCAGTCTATGTCATGGAAAGAGCAGGTGTTCTTAATGTTTGTACACTCAGTGTATAAGGACATCAGTCAATTGAAATGAATTCATTAGGCCCTAATCTATTGATTTCACATGACTGGGAATACAGATATGAATGTGTTGGTCACAGATACCTTATAAAAAAGCTAGGGGCGTGGATCAGAAAACCAGTCAGTATCTGGTGTGACCACCATTTGCCTCATGCAGCGCGACACATCTCCTTCGCATAGAGTTGATCAGGTTGTGTATTGTGGCCTGTGGAATGTTGTCCCACTCCTCTTTAATGGTTGTGCGAAGTTGCGGGATATTGGCGGGAACTGGAACACGCTGTCGTACACGTCGATCCAGAGAATCCCAAACATGCTCATTGGGTGACATGTCTGGTGAGTATGCAGGCCATGGAAGAACTGAGACATTTTCAGCTTCCAGGAATTGTGTACAGATCCTAGCGACATGGGGCTGTGCATTATCATGCTGAAACATGAGGTGATGGCAGCAGATGAATGCCACGAAAATGGGCCTCACGATCTAGTCACGATATCTCGGTGCATTCAAATTGTAATAGATAAAATGTAGTTGTGTTCGTTGTCCGTAGCTTATGCCTGCCCATACCATAACCCCACCGTCACCATGGGGCACTCTGTTCACAATGTTGACATCAGCAAAACGCTCGCCCACACGATGCAATACACGCTGTCTGCCATCTGCCCGGTAGAGTTGAAACCGGGATTCATCCATGAAGAGCACACTTCTCCAGCGTGCCATCTGCCCGGTACAGTTGAAATCAGGATTCATCCATGAAGAGCACACTTCTCCAGCGTACCAGTGGCCATCGAAGGTGAGCATTTGCCCACTGAAGTCGGTAACGACGCCGAACTGCAGTCAGGTCAAGACCCTGGTGAGGACAACGAGCACGCAGATGAGCTTCCCTGCGACGATTTCTGACAGTTTGTGCAGACATTTCTTGGTTATGCAAACCCACAGTTTCATCAGCTGTCCGGGTGACTGGTATCAGACCATCCCGCAGGTGAAGAAGCCAGATGTGGAGGTCTGGGCTGACGTGGTTACACGTGGTCTACGGTTGTGAGGCCGGTTGGACGTACTGCCAAATTCTCTAAAACAACGTGACAAAACTGCACATTTTAGAGTGGCCTTTTATTGTCCCCAGCACAAGGTGCACCTGTGTAATGATCATGCTGTTTAATCAGCTTCTTGATATGCCACACCTGTCAGGTGGATGGATTATCTTGGCAAAGGAGAAATGCTCACGCACAGGGATGTAAACACATTTGAGAGAAATACGTTTTTTGTGTGTAGGGAACATTTCTGGGATCTTTTATTTCAGCTCATGAAACATGGGACCAACACTTTACATTTTTGTTCAGTATAATAATGGAATTCCAGATGGATGGAATTTAACAGATAGACAAATATTGCCGTTCACTCTACGCTGGGCAGTGTGTGTATGTCACAGCAGTAAACATCATCACGTCATTACATTCATGTCACATCCTCATCCACACATTATCACTGCATTGTGTGTGTGTGTGTTTGTGTGTGTGTGTGTTTTGTGTGTGTGCGTGAGTCTGTGACATTATGCATGGGCCACCTGCTATGTCTGTGTTTGACCATAAGGTGGCAATAGAGCAATGAAGACTTTGGCAAAGACCAATGAATTCTCTCACTCAGCAGTATCTCATATTCCAAAGTCAAATCTGATCATGTCCCTACCCCCAGGGCTTAGTGGATAAAGAATCATGCTAGATAATCAATAACATCACACTCAGGGAGATTAACCCAACAACACGCCTCTGTGGAGACTTAACCCTCCTCCAACCAAAACTCTTATCAGTCAGGATTTAGTCTAAATACATCCTTTAAAGTGCAGAAGAAAAGGCAGAGATTGGATGAAATTTAAAGCATATCCTAAGGCCAATATTAGAGCTATTAGCTAGCAACATGGGTTCAGGTTTGCAGTGTTGTTGCTGTGAGCAGCGCAGATGCAGAGGTGGTTACTGTAGTACTCCAGCAGGGCTAGCCTTGCATGGGGCCACGGTGCAATGTAGGGTCCTCTATCTGCCTCTCGCTCCCTCTGTCTCTCTCTCTCTCTCCCTTCTCTCTCTGTGCCTCTCTCTCTCTCCACCTCTCTCTCTCTCTCTCCCCCCCCCCCCCCCTCCTATTTCCCTTGGTAGTTTCTGAGGGACCTCCAGACCAGAGCCCATCCATCTACGCCACTCACTGATGATAAATGACTTAGGTGCCCAGAGTCACAGAGAGAGAGGAGAGAGAGAGAGGGGGAAAGGTGAGGTGAAAGGGGCAGATGAATAGAGATATGTAGAGAACAGTGGAAACATTGTCTGGTACCTATACTATAAACATAGCCTCTACTTCAATCAACCCCACTATCATGCTCAATGTCAGCATTTTTTCTTTCTATCCTCACTGAACTCTTTCTTCATTTTCTTCTCATTTTTAGTCAAACTCGCCGTTTCATCTTTCTCAAACTTTTCTTTTCTTTCATTCTCTCTCTCTTTTCTCTTCTCTTCCCCTCATCCTCTCTTATCCATATGCGTTAGTGTCTAGTCCTGGTCTCCTTGGCGAGCTACAGCATTATAGCTAAGCTGTCTTCCTGGATTGCATTATTCCATTATGATTAGCCTAATAAGGTTGTAATTGACGGAGGGCCTTTCAGCGCCCTGTAGTATTGGTTTTACAAGGCCTCGGGTGGCCCTGCCTTGTCAGAGCTTTGTCTTTGATGTTTTATCTGTGCTCCTGCTCCCCCTGCTCCCCTGTACATGGGGTAAACTGCTGACTGAGGTAGGGCTGGAGGGAGGGAGGGAGGGAGGGAGTGCACGGGAACACACCGGATTACTGCAGCCTTACACATAGAAATAGAATGAATAGAAAGGGTGTATCCATTAAAGTCAATTATGGCATAATGAGTGGACTTGCAGACATTTTGAGTGTACCAATGCCTGGAAGTAAAAGCAGGAAGTGTACCCTTCAATCTATGCTGTGATTTGTTGAGTCAACTCAACTGAAGTTACAAAAAATGCATTGCATTGCATTAGCCACATCAGTTAGTATCATTCGAATTAACATTCTACATTACCATGGCAATCCAGCATCAGTTGCTAGAACATTGCAAAATAACATGGAAATGATTGCATCACAATACCAGGCAGCCTTTGCGAGTATACCCATGAGTTTACCAGTCAAATTGCCAGGGTTAGAGGTTCCAAGCCTGTTCTTGTCACACCCTGGCTCTGGGGAGTCTTATATGTTGAGCCAGGGTGTGTAGGGTCTATGTTTTCTGTTCTATGTTCAGTTTCTAGTTCATGTGTTTTCTATGTTGGCCGGGGTGGTTCCCAATCAGAGGCAACGTGAATCAGCTGTTGCTTGTTGTCTCTGATTGGGAACCATACTTAGGCAGCCTTTTGTGCCTTGTCATTTGTGGGATCTTGTTCCATGTAGGTTTGTGTGTTTATGACCGAGGACTTCACGTTTCGTTTTGTTGTTTGTATCGTGTTGCTAAGTACACATTAAAAGATGTACGCATTTCACGCTGCGCCTTGGTCCGCTCATTACGACGATCGTGACAGTTCTATTCATTCTATTTCAATGGTCTTACACTCCTTACGCACCCTGCCTCGACGCACCCCACCACCACCACTTACTGTAAAACATAGTCATTTACTGCTTCATTACATCTACTTTTCATTTATCTCCTACCCTTTGATTTAAGCATCTACAGTACTGTAGCGTTGGAATACACCCTCAATCATCTACAGTTCAGTCTGCAGTGGTTTTCATCAGTACCCCAGGGAGCCTCAGGTTTACACATTTTTGTTCCAGCCCAGCACCAGCACACCTGATTCAGCTACACAGCAAATTAGCTCTCTAAGAGTGAAAGTAACACTCAGTGGTGTAAAAGAACCCCGGTGTTGGTGTTAATAACCAGTGTTAAGTGTGAGAGTGTGATTTTGTCAGTTTTACTCTGAGGAGAGTAAAACGTTCCCATCAAAACCACACCCATTTTTACATTTTTCCCATCATGCTCTACCGAAATTAGATTAATGTCATGCTATACAAAGATAAATAACATAAATTTTTCTAAATTAATCCAATCAGTTACTTAGATTATTCCAGATTTAATGTTCCTAACAGTCATTCTGAAGGCAGGTTGTGGGTGAATAATATTTCCAACTGTTGGATATCCTAACGCTGGCTGGATTCCAACAGAAATTATATATCACTTTGCAAGCCAGCAACTTGCAGGCCTGATATGGTCTGTAAACCAGTAGGTTCCTAGCACCACTGTGTTGGGGTAAAACATGGCCATCAAAGTAAGGCTTTATGATATATGTAATGTATTATCATAAACAGTTTAATTTTAGTAACATTCGCCTACGGTAGGACCTCAATTAGTGACCAACAAATACTGTCATGGGTGGTAACTCTACAATTCACTCGAAAAGGCAAGGCACACTGGGCAATTATTTTGGAGGTGTGGCTAAGTTAAGGCGTGGCGTTAAATTCGTTATTTTTGGCCACCCGTGAGTGGAAGTGTTGTACCAGTTGAAGTGGTCTATGGTTCTGTTAATTAAACCTTGAGCATGTCTGCTGCCAGTTATAAAGTATTGTATAATGCTTATATAAGAGCATGTGGCAATAGAGACTTGTAATTATGTTTGCAATTTCCTGAACAGTCATTCAGAAAAGTAATGTTTTTCTCATGGCTAATTACAGTGCTTTCAAACACTTATGTCAATCAACTTGGATGCAGTGTTGAAGTAAAATCATCTCAAGGTAATTTGGTGATACACAAAGCAACTCAAACATTGAAATTGCATCTATTATTGTACATCTATGGAGCCTTACACTGGGGAACATCCATGTGCTCAGGAAAGGAGACGAGTATTTTACAGTGCGAAGCAGAGGGCTCTGAATGAGTGTGGGTGCCCTGCCTGCCGCCTCCCGGCCCAAAAGAACGTTGACTACGACGTGTGGTGTACTGTCCCTTCGTGCCACCAGTGTGGCACTGTCGCTGTCCTCCTCCGGTCTTTCGGCCGCCGGCTCCACCCAGCTCCATCGGCTCGAGGTCCGAGTCCTCCGGGGTGAAAACGGGCAGACACCTACCAGGACGTCCTCTGGCTGCCAGCAGGTTGTCCAATCGAATGGCCATGTCCACCAGTTTAGCGAAGGACAACATGGTGTCCCGGCAGGCTAGCTCCCGTCAGACGTCCTCCCGCAGATGGCACCGGAAATGGTTGCCAGCGTCCGGAACTCCAATGCAAAGTCCTGCGCGGTCCTCGTCCACTGCCTCAGGTGGACTATCACTCACCCGCCTCTCGACCCTCAGGCGGGTAGTTGAATAACGCCCGAAAGAGGCGAGCGAACTCTCTGTAGTCCTCCAACGCAGCTCCTCCTTCGTTCCACACCGCGTAGGCCCACTCCAGGGCTTTCCCACAGAGGCAGGAAACGAGGATGGACACCTTCTCCCGCTCCGATGGTGCCGGCCTGATGCTGGCGAAGTAAAGCTCCAATTGGAGGAGGAATCCCTGGCACAGCGCGGCTGTCCATCAAATGCCTGTGGTCGGGATATCTGGATCCCTCCTGGTGCTGGGGTGTAGGTGGTTGGATCCGGTTGGCCAGCTGGTCTCGACAGATCAGGTCTGCTCCTCTCCAGGCGTTGGACAGCCTGGAGAACCTGATCCATCGCTTCCCCCAAGCTGGCCAGCATCGTGGAGTGCTCCTGGACCCGTGCCACGACTCCAGGCATGCGCTCTTCTCCCGCTGACTCCATAGCAGGTGGGTGATTCAGTGATGCGTGTGATAGAAGGAGTCAGGCGCAGGAGAGTAATACGCATCCAAAGAGTTTATTCCGTCGATAAACAGTTGCGCAAGCATGCGACAACAAAACTCAGGCACAGGGGAAATATCTACCCTGGCAACAACAAAGTAAGGGTAGCTCAACCGAGCTACACACAGCTCACTACAAACAATCACCCACACAGACAAGGAAGCAGAGGGAACACTTATACAATGACTAATTGGGGATAAGGACCAGGTGTGTGTGATAAATTAGACAAGACAAGTGGAGTGATGATAAATGAATCGGCAACAGCTAGCAAGCCGGTGACGACGAACGCCGAAACCTGCCCGAACAAGGAGGGTAGGCAGCCTCGGCGGAAGACGTGACAATATCCACAGTAAAACGAGTCCTATATCGATATAACCTGAAAGGCCGCTCAGCAAGGAAGAAGCCACTGCTCCAAAACCTCCATAGAAAAGCCAGACTACGGTTTGCAACTGCACATGGGGACAAAGATCGTACTTTTTGGAGAATTGTCCTCTGGTCTGATGAAACAAAAATAGAACTGTTTGGCCATAATGACCATCGTTATGTTTTGAGGAAAAAGGGGGTATCTTGCAAGCCGAAGAACACCATCCCAACCGTGAAGCACGGGGGTGGCAGCATCATGCTGTGGGGGTGCTTTGCTGCAGGAGGGACTAGTGCACTTCACAAAATAGACATCTCAAGACATCAGTCAGGAAGTTAAAGCTTGCTTGGTCGCAAATGGGTCTTCCAAATGGACAATGACCCTAAGCATACTTCCAAAGTTGTGGCAAAAAGGACAACAAAGTCAAGGTATTGGAGTGGCCATCTCAAAGCCCTGACCTCAGTCCTATAGAACATTTGTGGGCAGAACTGAGGCCTACAAACCTGACTCAGTTACACCAGCTCTGTCAGGAGGAATGGGACAAAATTCAACCAACTTATTGTGGGAAGCTTGTGGAAGGCTACCCGAAACGTTTGACCCAAGTTAAACAATTTAAAGGCAACGCTACTAAATACTAATTGAGTGTATGTAAACTTCTGACCCACTGGGAACGTGATGAAAGAAATAAAAGCTGAAATAAATAATTATCTCTACTATTATTCTGACATTTCACATTCTTAAAATAAAGTGGTGATCCTAACTGACCTAAGACAGGGATTTTTAATAGGATTAAATGTCAGGAACTGTGAAAAACGGATTTTAAATGTATTTGGCTAACGTGTATTTAAACTTCCGATTTCAACTGTATGCAACCCTATTGATCCCAGAGGATCATATTGTGAAATACTGGACCAGAGAAAACAAAACTCTTTCTTATAGTGTACCATTTCTGAGGTGAGCTGAGCAGGCTATCAGTTGAGGCTATATGAAATGTAAAGGGTGAATAGTCAGATGGAGGTTACTCTACTGCAGGAGGAAGCATGTAAACCAGCAACTCATTTCCCACAGGGCTCTCTGAGCACTAGCAGCAATGCTAGTACAAGCTATGGGAGCTCTAGTACAAGCTATGGGTGAGGGGTCGCATAGCAATTTCCAACCTCACGGATGGCTAACCACACCAACATGCATACTCCCATACAC